CACACACACACATGTTGACTTGAAATTAATTGCTTCTTTTTTTTTTAATAATATTTATTTACTTAAAGGCCTTCACACATTGTAGTTAGAAATAAAATGCTTCGCCGAACCTCATCGAGTCTTTTTCGCCGTACTCCTCCTCGCCTTAGTGGTGGTGAACTTTATCATCCGCTAAAGTTGGAGGAAATTCCCCCTTCATCTGAAACCAAAGGGTTTTTTTGCACCTATAACGGAAGATTTAAGTACTTTCGTTTGATCGATATCAAATGGCTTATGAACCGATGTGTGGAAATGAAGCGTGAGCATTATATTGCGGGACCAATCTTTTACATTTTTTTGTGGATGTTCTGTTGGAAGGGATTTCAAATTCTAAAGTATGGTGACGGCTCACCACCGCATTCAGTGGATTGGAATACAAAGGAAACAGGGTATCTTCCGAACGGATTTGAACCCACAAAAGTGCTCAAGAAGGTTTAGAAATAAATCTGAGGAATTAGAAAAATGAGAGAAATAGAATCAGATGTAATTCCTTTTCTACAGACGGGACCTATTAGAAACAAGCGAAAGGACATCATTAATAGGTATTTATACTTTTTCCTTGTAGTTTCACTTACTAACGAAACCTGATTATACATATTGGGGAGGGGAAAAATTAGATTTTGTAGCATAGTATGAGTGCACATGTTTGGCGTATAAACGTTAGCTTTTTTCTTCCTTTGATCTCACTTCTCTGCTCATGATTAAAATACAAGAAATGGTGCTTGACAGAATGAAAAGAAACGAAAGTAAAGAAATATGCAGAAATTTAGCACATTTTCTATTTGCTAATAATTTGTGGACAGGGGGAGGGTAAAGATAAAAAGTTGGATTTTTATCATTATTATTATTTGCTTTATTGATGAAAAAAGAAAACGAGCTATAAATTTTTTACACATATGATATGAATGTGAATTCGGATTAAGATTTTATTTTTTAACATTTTCTCTATTAATATTCTTTTCCTACAAAGAAAGCATTTATATTACAATTACAGGTTCATTGAAAGAGGACTTATCCGTGTCGTGACTATGTATGATACCAATATGCTTAGTATTTGACACGATAGATTAATATAGGAAGCTACCGTATCGCTCGGTAAAATCATCATTAGAAGATAAACAGGAAGAAGAATGTATGAATTACATTCAAACACCGCAAAAAAATGAAGAAGGATCGTAGTACGGAAAGCTGAACAACAAATGAAGGGAAACACCCCTTTTATAAGTAATTTGTGCAACTTACTGACCTACAGAGATGCATTATTTTAACAAAAATGGACACTCCAAAGGGGGTAAAATCCAGATAGGGATGGGTTAGCATAGAACTATACTAAAAATAATCCTTTAGGTGATGTAAATTTTCTTCACAATGTATGCTTTTTCAATTTCTCGTGTAATGAGCTGTGGTAGAAAGAGAGGGAAAGCCGCATGTGCAGTCCCCTTTCCTTCCACAAATATACAACTTTGTAAAGGTCTATTAACACTCGATACAAAAAGAAGAAGAAAAAGAATCCATGGTATGACACTTTAATCGATATCAAGTAATGATAATTACTTTGCACACATGACATATATATATATTAGTAAAGGGCAGATTATGCTGGCTCCAATTGAGCGGCTATGATAGTAAACTAACTGTTTCTAAACCGCTGAAAGTAGTGCGCTGTCAACAACGATTAAACTAATATACGTAATAAAAATGTCAGTACCCTTCTAACTACCAAACTAAGATCCATATACATATGATATCTAAAATAAAAATGATACATATAGAAGCATAAAGTTTGAACCGCACCTAAATTCAAATGCGGCATAAGTTAACCCCATGTTTTCCTATAAAATCCTCTGTTTACAACTATACGATTTTGCGGCAGCTTAGCGAAAAATAAATTCTCCCAAACTGGATAAATTTTCTCAGAGGGCATCCTTGAATTCATGCCTATACCGAATGTCACACACTCACTTCGTCTTATGTTAACCTCAACCGCTGTCCCCTTCCCCCTTCTTTTTCCTCTTATCCCACGTCATCCATGAAGCACACGCCAAACACCCCCAATCGGAATTGAACGGCATATTCCCCCCACTCGTGTGCCTGAACCGCCGTTGCCGTGAAGGCCCATCCCGTCTCTTGAATCTCACTGAAACGCCCCAAAGGACGGCCTTGCGCGGGTGCCCCACAAATGCCCACCCCCACCTCAGGCCGACCGAGGGAGACGCCAACCCGGAACGGGCTG